AAATCCAAAAAATCATTTCACAATAACCTGCTTGCAGCATATGTATGTAAAGATCATATGTAAGAATAGAACACTGAGAGAAGCTGCTGGCAGTGGTTAAATAGCTTGGTATGGCATAGTTATAATTACCAAGTTTGAATTAACACAACAAGTATTGGTGAGATTTTAAAATAAAATTTAAAACTTGAAGAAAATATTTCAAAAGGACATCATAGCACGGAAGACAGGAGAATAGCCATATATTCCCAGTTTGCTTTTTATATGACTTGCTCTAGTCAAGTAATATATTGAACCTTTCTGAGACTCACTCACTTTCTCTGAAAAATGTCTGTTGTAATATCATGGTTTTAGAATTTTAATAACAATTAATAATATCATAGTGCCTTGCAGATAGGCACTCAATAAATTGATAAATAGGAGTTCTTTTATGATTACCAACATAAAAGGTGAATTCCACAAATAATGTGTTTCTGCTTCATAGACTCCACCTGGGTTGGGTCCTCAGTAAATAATATAAAGTAATATAAAACCTCTACTCTGTGATTAAAATCATGTTTTGACATGCTTTATGAGCTCTTTTCATATGGATTTTTGATAATATGCTTTCAAAATTATTGGCAGATCTACTCTTTGTCTGTACTTCAAGCTGGATAATGGAAAATGATTTATACAGTTTTATTGAATTTACAAGGGTTAGAGTAGCCACGTTAATTATTGCTATGTCATTCTCCAAGGCTAGCAGGAACTGAAACAAAACATAAGCCAAACTAAATGTAATTAGCATTAAAATGACTCAAGCATGAAAAATAATCGAATGGGTCCTGGAGTGTTATTCTCGACAACAAAAAAGATCCTACTTGTTTGCAAACATTCATTTTAATTCCCTTTACCTCATCATTTGAAATTAGAGAGGTATTTTAGGTCCCTCTCATATTTCTCAATAACATTTTCTTAACATTGTGATGTATGGTGTCATATATAATTAATCTAACTTTTAAAACTAGATGATAGCAGCTGAAAATTTTCACAGGATGAGTACAAGGAATCCACCTCACTAAAGCATAATCATTTGTTCTTTCTAACTGTATGTTATTCAGTGTTACTGTTTTCTGATTAGAACATTCTCTTTTTAGAGTACAAATTCTATCTTCCAAATTCAGTGAATTCTATGTTGAATTTAAAATACAATGCTACCCGAGAAAAATACTTTTACATAGAATTTCTACCCAAATCCTTCTTCCTAGACCTTGGGTTAGCAGCAGTAAATATAGTCAGCCTTCTGAATGTTGCACATCCACAGATTCAACCAATTACAGATAAAATATATTCAAGAAAGAAACCATTTCTGCAGTGAACATGTACAGACTTTTCTTTCTTACCTTTATTCCCTAAACAATACAATAATGGTTTACTTATTATTTGCATTGCATTAGGTACTATAAGTAATCCAGAGAAGATTTAAAGCATAAAGGGGATGTTCATAGACTATATGTAAATACTATGTAATTTTATATAAGGAGTATTTGCAGATTTGGGGATCCATGGGAGTCCTGAGGGATAGTTTTCTTTACTATGGACCGATAACAGTCAGAAGATAGCCTAAATATGAGAAGATAGAAAGAAAGAAGAAATTCTAAGAGAGATAAAAGAAAGTATTGTAAGGAGATATATAGGGAAAGCAAGGCATGGGGTAAAGCAGATAACAATAGACACAGATTAGTGTTTTGACTTTATAGTCAAGAAAGTTGCTAGGAGGTGACAAGGAGGGAAAGCTAGGACTGTGTTCTCAGGAAACAAGGGTCTCCTCAATGGATTTCTGTAATTAGGAGAGAGATCTAGCAGTTTGAGAGTGAAGGAGCCATGCAGGGCTTCCTGGAAACACAAGCTGATTCCACAAAATATATGCCTCCTTCTAGTTAGATCAGAGCTGATGTGTAGCAGAACCACACTTTTTTTTAGCTCTGTTAGCTCTGAATTTTTTTGGAATATTTCCACACTGTTGGTAAGAAGCTCTTGTCAGAGGCAGTATGTGTTCCTTTTCTGTGAATACTCAGACACATTGTGGGTATATCTGAATTTCTGAATTAAAGAAGGACTCTCAGGAATAGCAATAGCAGGGTGTTCCAGGACACTCCAGCTTATATGGCTGGTGTAAATTTTGATAGGCACCTGTGTCAAAACTGTGTGTCTATTACCTTTAAGAGGAGCATATTAACTGGGGACACTTAAAAAGGCTTGAGGTTAAGTCTCAAATGGGCTCTGAGATACAATGATAGGACCAAAAGGACCCAAGGTATAATTTTGACTTTATTAGATATGCCTGAGATCCTATTAAATGAGTGTAGCAATATCATTAAAAACAAACATTAATGGGAAACATTTTTCTCTTCATGATCATCGATTAGAATTATACAATTATAATTATATTTGTCATCCGAGTGATTTGCAAATACAGTATAAATCATTCATTTCTTTTTTTTTCCTACTGTAGTATTGCATTTCAATCTAGTTTTAAAATCAATATACTTTACCTTCTTTCCTGTCACTTCCTGCCTTAAGAAAAGAAAAAGCCCAGGGCTCTGACCATGTTTGAACTTGATGAGCTCTCTTATAATGAGATGCCTGGGCACATGATGCCTCTATAACTGGATTTCAACAGTTATTAATAGCTGCCTTCTTCCCTCTTCAGGGTCAGATCCAGTGGCAGATCCCATGAACATACGCAATGTGCTACCTAACATAGGCATCTACAGACTTGTCCAATGGACTATTTTAGACAGAACTTTTATATAAGTTTTATAAACTTTAAAGGGTATGAAGGAAATAAGTCTACCTTTGAAATAAACTGTAAAAATCCATTAAAAGAACATTGCCTTTAAAGTATTTGAAAAGCAGATAATTATCTAAGTGAGAAATTAGAGTGTCCTATCTTATTATTCTAAACCATGGGTTTTAAGTGATCTTGAAATGAAAAAAAAAAATTATTTCTAGATATTGCTTTTTCATATGTAATTCTCAAACTTTTTATATCTTTATTTGCATTTTTTAATAACTTCAGTATGTATAAATATGCAAGCTCTAATTCTATATCTTGAATAGTCAGTTTTCAAGTAAAATACAGATACCTATCTGGAGATTATCATTAAGTTAATTATAATGCATTTCATAATTGTATAGAATGTGTTTCCTTTCATAATATAAAAAGTAAAATCATGACCTTCCAAATTAGTAATTTTGTTGTCAAGTAATTTCTTTTCCTTAACTCTGAATTGTTTAAGTTAATGCTTAAATTTTATGTAGTGTGTTTTTATTATAGAACAAAGGGGTCTATATTAAAATATACTGAGATTAATGTGAAATGTTAAAACTTACAACCTTTTTAAAGATATTACCTCATATAGTAAGTATTTTTTGTTTTGTATTTTTCATCTTGTCTTTCAGACATATTATGCACAAAGTGTCACAATTTTATAGAGGATAAAATATGATTTCTTCTCCCTTTTTTATATCTAACAAGGACATTAACTCACAGATATGAAGTTGATAAAATTTATAACATGACAATATTACCACTTATCTAGCAAATTTTTAGAGATAGGAACTATTCTAATGTCCTAGATAACCATAAGACTCAGTAAATACTTACTACAACCCTTTGAGGTAGATGCCATTTTGTTCTCATTTTGTAGATGAGAAAACTGAAGCATGAAGATAATTGGTTTTCCCAATATCACACGATAATGAGTGTATTAGTTAGATTTGTTCAGAGAGAAAAGAATCAATAGCATATGTGTATAGTTATATGAGGGGGGATCTATGAGCAAAATTGGTTCTTGCAATTCCAGTTACTGAGGAGGCTCATGACAGGGTGTCTACAAGGTAAGACCCTAAGAAACTGGTAGCTTGACTCAGTTTAAGTCAGAAGGCCTTAGAACCAGGAAAGCAGGTGACATACCTCCCACTCTGATGCTGAATGCCTGAGAAACCCAAGGGAAGGAGGAGCTGTTAGCAATAAGTCCTGGAGTCCAGTGGCTGTTGAGCCTCAAGTTCTGATTTCCAAGGCAGAAGAAAAAAGGTCCAGCCCCATTATTTGAGAAAAGACCAATTTACCTTTTGCATGTGTTCTCTTTGGGATTGTTGACCAGTGGATATACCACACAGAGGGCAGATCCTTTTCACAGATTAGATTCATGCACTAATTTTCTCTGGGAACCCCCTAATAGACACTCCAAAAATAATGTTTTATCTAGGTTGCTAGGTATTCCTTAATTGAGTCAAGTTGAGACCTAAAATCAACCATCATTGTGAGTGATTGTTCTTAAAGGAAAAACCAAGTAGTATGGCTCTGGAGTGTATAGCTAACCTCTAGGCTACTTTTCTATATCAGACTCCAAAGAAGGAAAACCAGTTCCATCAGAAATGATGATTTCTAAGGAAATTTTCACTTAGCAAGACTAGCACTGTGAAGAATGAAAACACTGGGGTTGATAGAAATAGTAAGTGTGGTGGAGAGGGGAAAGGGAAGTAGCTATAAAAAAGGAGTTGCAAGAACATAGAATTCGGAAAAGTACAACATATATTCAAGGCATCATAAAGAGGGCAGTTTGACAAGATAAGAGGGTTCTTTTTTTGATAATTCTTAGAAAGATGAATATGTTCAAGGTGCTTGCTGGATATTATTTGATATATCATTACCAACATTAAAATAAACTCATTTTCTACACAAATAGGTTTGATATTCGCAATTGTGTGTTTATCTTAAATGTCAATCTGTTACTAACATTATGACCCTTTATTTCATTCACCCAACTGACTGAGTAAGCTATTATCCTGTCAAGCATTCACTTGTGACTCAAAGTGGAACATTTTTAAAATGAATGTGTGTTTATATATATAAAATTTGGACACTAAGGAAAACTTCAGATAGACTTTCCTACTTAAAAATGCAAAATCAAAGTGAAGTATTCCTGATCACAGTACATATCACTGTCTTTTTTCAGGTAAACCAGTGATGATAGTGACAGAGTATATGGAGAATGGTTCTTTAGATACATTTTTAAAGGTAAGATTTGGAACTAAGTTAGTTAGTTATTCACAGTGTTATTTATATATCAATCATGTCATTGAAGTTGAAACTGAGAAAACTTAAAGTTAAAAGGTTTTAAATGGATAGAAATATGTGGAGCCAGAATAACTATACTCCAGAATTAACTGTGGTTTGAAAAAATGTGCTTTTGAGAAAATAAATCCAAATTACGTCTTTGTAGTTTTTTTTAGGCATATGTTGATTTGAACAAAAAAAAATAAGGAAACTGGGATTGAAAAAAAAAAAGAAAAGAAGGGATATAGGAAATGAAGGGAAGGGAAGAAAAGAAACAAAGGAAAAAATAAACTTTACAAATACTCAACTTTTGAAAGTGCATAATGTCAAGGCGAGCAAGGAGAAATATCTGAAGTGTCCCTTCAGTCTTAAGGAAGGCATCTGTGGGAATCTATAAGTGTTCATAACCCACATGAGGACCAGTCACTGAGTCATTGTTTACACTAGCAGAAAAGTCATGTGGTAGGAAAGAATAGTCGATATTGTCAGATCTTCAGATCCGGTTTCAGGAAAAATATTTTTATGTGTACTTCCCCAAATTTTAAATATTGACAATTCATTTTTATCAGTAAATAAAATATGCTTGTGTCTGACAATGAAACACACTTAGGTCTGATTAAACCTATAGTCTAGCAGTAAGTCACACTATTTCTTATTTCAAAATCACCATCAGTTAGGCCTTATGAATCTGTGCAACTTCATTAAATTCAGTACCTTTAACAAAAACAACAAATTTCCAAAATTGTTAACATTTTCTGTTAGCAGTCATCCTTCTCCCTATCTGCTAAGATACTCCCTTATCTACTCTGACCACTTTATCTTTACCTCAGTATCTCTATACAGTTAGTTACTTTTAAATTGCCTAAAATATATTCGTTGTTACCTCAGGCAAGTACTAGAATGGAGTAATGAACAAACTCCTTGAATAACTGCTAATAAAGGAATTACAATTAAGAAAAGGTCAACAAAATTAGATTTTAACAAGTGCTTTCAAAGCCTTTATCTTTTTTGACCAGATCAACATTAAAAGTTAACCAAATATTTTCTAGTATTTTCTATTCTCCTTCAGATAGATATTGCATATACATTTTGATGGATGGTAATATTAATTGGAAGATTGAAGGAAGATCCTTTCATTTTTCCTCCTTCGAAGGGTATTGCTTCACTAATATTTCTACACTGTCTTTATAGAAAAACGACGGGCAGTTCACTGTGATTCAGCTAGTTGGCATGCTGAGAGGCATCGCTGCAGGAATGAAGTACCTTTCTGACATGGGCTACGTGCACAGAGACCTTGCTGCTAGAAACATCTTAATCAACAGTAACCTTGTGTGCAAAGTGTCTGACTTTGGACTTTCCAGGGTACTGGAAGATGATCCTGAGGCAGCCTATACCACAAGGGTAAGATCTAACAGAATGCATTTCTGACACACTAGACTAGAGATATTTAATTTTTAAAGATCTTAAAGGAAATAGCAAAAAGGGCATTCCTCTAACAAAGTCAGAGCTATCATGAGAGAAAGAGAAAAAGAGAGAGAGGGCGAGAGAGAATCGAAAGCTCATTTCTCTTTTTCTATATCACCAAATTCAAATATTAAATACTGGTAAGGAAAACATTCACCTTCTGAATCTTAATTATTTACTTTTTTCTGACTATACTAAAATAGAACATCTGAATTAAGAATGGGTGTAACAACATAAAATCATATAAATGTTTAAATCCAAGGCAGTTAAAGGTAGAATCTCCTATATTAAAAGAAACGGTAAAAGAAAGTATATATGTATACACACATAATGATGATGTAAACATGTATAGCATCACAGAGTGTCCTCAATTGCAAAATAAATACAGAAATATCTGGACCTTACCTTTTCAGAATTTATGTCATTGGGGAAAAAAGTTATTCTTCCGAGAAGTTTTGAGTTACTGGAGTTATTGCAGTGCCTCACTACTTTTCTTACATACTCATGGCAAGCTTTCATCTATAGGAAATTGGGCACCAACACATATTTTCATACTTAGCAAAATTCACCACTCTTTTCAGGAGCAAAAGTAGTTGCTTTGTGAACTGATACAGCATATGGTTGACAATTTTTCCTATGTAAAACTGTTGACATTGCTGCAAAGAAATTTTTTGGGTCATCTATGATATTGGATTTATTAAGTCTGAAACACTTACAATAAATAATTTTTGTGTAATTTGAAATCTTTTCAGTGTTATTGAGTTAGATATTCTGGATGTCTAAACTCCTTATGAAGACAGGGGTTTATTGTACATCTTTTCACCGTCCAATTTGGTTAGCTTTTGTTTGAATGTAGAGTAACAATTTTGCCATCTCTCATTCTAAAATCCATTTAAAGGTGCTACATATGTTCTTAAACATCATAAATTTATAACTATAGTCTAAATATAAGTTCTTTAATACATTATAGGGTTGTTTTGTTTTGTTTTTATATTGTTGTATTGTGACTTATGGTTATTCGGGGATTTGTACTGTGCTGAAGGGCAAGAGTAATTTATCTAAGCAAATGAAGGTTTCCAAAGTTAAGCTTAATAAATCAATAAATTAATTGATGAGTTATCCCTACTCTTCTAGACCTAAGTAGCATTGTCACTATTTGCATTAAATGAAGCTTCAATTAAGAATCCTCCTGGGATTATAGTTACACTTAATAAAATTGACCTGAGCAAGATTGAGGTTATAGAAAAGTCTACTGCCAGTGTGATTGTTGTGTTAGTTAAGTGCAAAAAGTAGATTTTTCAAGGTCTGTGTCAGTATGTTATGCTGCAGAGTTGGGAGTGAGAGACAGAAATCGTGAAATTCTTAAGACTTACTCTTCTGAAATGGAGTGTGGTAGCATTTTATGGAAAATATATATACTGAGAGATGATTAGATAAGGGACTGTTGGAAAATATGCTGACTTCTATCATGGTAAGAGGATCAGAAGAAAAATTATGGGCTGAAATACAACATAATAACATATTTCAATTCTAAGAGTCACTTTAATCACATAGTGTAGAATATCACATCTCTATGAGTAGACAGGTTTCATGATATGAGCTTGCCTTTATTCTTAATTAACAAGAAGTTTAAAGTAAGTTTTTTTTAAAATGGATAGGTAAAGAAAGAGCAAGATTATTACATATTATATAGAGTTTGCATATAAATATCTAGAGTTTATATATAATGGTTAGATAAATTATATGTATGTGTATATATATATATATATATATATATATATAAATATATACTCTATAAATATATACACATTTAATTATATATTAACTATATAATCTATGGTTATATAGGTTTGCCTGCTTTTGAGGAGAAAAAAAAATCACGATGAAGGAGGCAGGATATAAAATTATTTTTTTCTACTATCTAAAAACCCAAATTCTTATTGTGGTGAGATTTTCCCCAATATTCTAAGTTTAACAATTTTTTTTAATTTGGTAATTAAACAAGATACCCATTTCTGTGGTTAGATAGTTAACCAATAAAATATACAAATGTGTCATCAAAAAAAGAAGGGAAATATATCAAGTCTAAAAAACATAAAATGATGTTGAAGTAAAGTATAACCTAAGTTTTTAACACATGGAATTTTCCACCTTCTCTTATTAAACTTCTCAGGGTTGCATTTGGCAGCCTAGACATTATACTCTAAATTTCTGTATTTAAAAAAAAAAAAAAAGCATGCAGAGAATTTGAGTCCACTGCTCTACATTAGAAGTCCTGAGAGTGTACCTTATTGATTTGCTTGACTGCCTGCTTTTCCCTACTTAGAGCTGCCATCCTGAGGACTGTAATTGAGATGTGGGTCCTGTGTGTGTTCCAGGAGTCAAACAGAATTTAAACTAGAAACCTTCCGGACAGCCAATTAATAGTTAGTCTACAAATGCTTATGGACTGGGAGATGGAAAAAGAGACTGCGTGCTGTCAAACAGATTCACTTAAAAATGCTACATCTCTTTCTAGATCTTTTCAGTGAGGCAGCAATATCCCTAGACACATTTGAGGTATGTGAGGATTTTAAAAATTCTTTTTTTAAACTTAGGGAGGCAAAATTCCAATCAGATGGACTGCCCCAGAAGCAATAGCTTTCCGAAAGTTCACCTCCGCCAGTGATGTCTGGAGTTATGGAATCGTAATGTGGGAAGTTGTCTCTTATGGAGAGAGACCCTACTGGGAGATGACCAATCAGGATGTGAGTATGGAACTAGTCTTTCTCACTCAAGTTGAGAATGAAATGCTTTGTTCTCTGAGTCCGGACACTTACATTGTTTTTCATTTCTGGATATGACAGTTGCTTGAAATATATGAAATTTTTTGCTTACCCTGTGATCTGTTTTGTTGTTGTTGAAATAGTCTTTATGCAGAAGCTGAAAATATGTTATTACAAAGGAACATAAGTTACAGTTATATAAAACTCACTGTGTTGCCAGATTGTCTTAGCTGTGTTATAGTGATGTGTCTTTCAGATTATGTCAAAATCATTCTCAAAGATGAAGAAAGAGCCATCAACAAATGAATACTGACAAGCACATTTTTATGATTTGCATTTGATAAAGGAGGCTAATAATCTAAATCAAAAGTATGAATGATATAGATTTAATAGTGAATGTTCTTAGAGGATAAAAAGAAATGGTCTACATTTCTTTACATTACAAAATGTAAAAAGACTTGTATTATGTATTTAATTTGATGAAAAAAAAACAGATTCTTTCCCTACAATGGAATAACTATCCATGCATATAATAACAGAATCCTAATAGTAAAGAAACCATGAAAGAATCTTCTATTCATTTCAGAATGTTTATGATGTGATGCCAGGAACATAACTCCTTGCTCTTTGCTTTTAAATTTTTCTATTGTTACTGTTCAAAATATTCATTTTCATTTTGGATCATATTGAAAATTGATATTTTTCCCTGATAATTGACATGTTTCTCTATAACAATAGTTTTACAGGCAGTTAGCTAGAATAGATCAAGCCCTTACTATGTGTCATACATTGTCTTATGTGCTTTATCAACAAATCGTTGATTGTGTCTTTCTAAAACCTGGATATTGAACTATCTCAACCCAATATTTGAAACATTCATATTTTTCTTCCAAATATTTCTTTCATTCATACTCTGTAACATCTCCCTTTCCCATGTATGCCCTCAGGAACTGAGAGAAGATAATGTAGCTCTCCTACTGAATTTTATTGAAATAAAAGTGTCTTGCCAGTAATTATTTTTCACTTTTCAAAATAAAAATTCAACTACTGTCTAAATTAAAGTCAATCTCATATTCATTTCAAAGTGTTTCCCACAGTTCCAGGGCCAGCCTGACCAAGTTATGTAAAGTGGGGATGAATGATCAAATCTTTGTTCCTTTGTTTCTTTGTTTCCAAAGACTATAGCTGGATTCTTCAGGATTGGTCTGAGTGGAGAGGTAGGAAAGAAGGGACAAAATTATATCATACATTGGGGCTGTTGAGGCTTCTTGTGGAGAAAACATTAAGTCATGAGATCTCAAGTGAGCTACTTGTCTGAGCTTTTCCAGGACTCTTGATTGGAGGCCCCTGCTAGCCCCTAGAAGAGGAGTGTGTGCTCCAACCCACTTCCTAGATCTCTTTGTACTTGCTCCCAGTTCCACACCTCATATTGTCTTATTGCACCAATCACATATTAGCTACTAGCAAGGGACATACTTTCACATATATACATATTCAGTTGGATGCTCTCCTTATGGTCCTTCTTTGGGTATTGGTATCACAGACTATTCCAACCATTTTGCCTTCTCCAAAATTCCCCAGGTGAGATGTCTAGGTCATACACCCATTTTCCCAAAAATTATTTCATAGCATTCTTCTCTTGTAGCAGCAATAAATCAGGTTGATATATTTCTGACTCTCAGCAAACATATAGCAAGAGAGCTAATCTCCACTTCAACTAGGATGGTATAGCTATTTTCCTTTGTGACCCATTCACTTGGCTTGGGAAGGGCAGTGCTTAGTTGTGTTTCTCTACATCTGAGAGGACATATCAGTGTTATGATTTAAGGGACAGGACTGTGGTCAAAATTATTATTTTGTTATCATTATATTTATTTATATTTATACTTATAATGCCCCTTAAAGTTTAGAGAAGTAAAACAACTTTCGAAAGGTCACAAAAAATAATAAAAGTTATACTAGAAATTTCAACCTAGAACTGTATTAAAAACAAAAATCTAACCACCAAGTCTCATTTCAATACTATTATTGCCTTTAATTTTTATGGAAGTTTTTCATTTTTGTTCAGCCAGCAAGCCTTCATATGGTGGTCCCACCCATGTGTCTATTTCACTCAAAGGAAACATTTATCCCTTATTTCCCTAGTTAATTCCTACTCACACTTGAAATGATTTGAGTTCTGATTCTGCCACTCAGAATCAACCATGCAGTAGATCATCCCCATTTTTGGCAATTATGTCTAATATAGTTATGTCAGTCACAGATAAAATTATAGATAAAAGTAGATTATGTTGTTTGGTGAATATTCTTTCATGCTTTTGCTGGTATTGTCCAAGTTTCCTTATGCTTTTTTACTGCTAGTTGATAGGTAGTCATATACTTTCACTATCCTCCAGCTCTCTCATCTTCCTTGTGAGACCAGCACATAGACCCTCATTTGCAAATGGCCAAAGTACAAGAAGGAGTTCAATTGCACTTCAGCTAGTAATGTGTCTTTTAAAATCCCCTTGGCCATTCCCATGAACAGAGTGCTGGGTCAATGACACTGCTCATTGTGGAGCATTATAGCTGCATGGAGAAGGACATAGGAACAGGGAGATTGTGTAGGGTGATGAGGAATTTGTCTTAAATCCTTCACACCTCCCTTCATTTCATAGGTTACCTGTTGGAATCTATATCTTGTGTAATAATTCTCAGTTTTTCTATCCTATGTCCATTTTTCAAAGTTCATTTATTTAATGCTCAATAGCATTGTTGACATGTAGTTATCATCGAATCCACTCTCTTAAATACTTTTCTTTGGCTTTTATTGTTCCTTTTTAATTTTTTCCCCTGATTCAACCATTTGAGTGCCTTGATACTTTTTAATATAACATAATTTCAATGTATTCAGAAAAATGAGAGGGAATGGTGTTGTAAGATTTTTAGGAAATTATAAGAATAAAAACTAATATTTTAGTTTTGACCAAGTTTTCCAAGAATTTGATGAAATTTTCAAAAGATGATCCTATAAATATAGGCCATTCTAAAATAGTTTTGTTTAATATAAAATGTAGTAAATGGCTTGCTATTTTCTCAGAAAACTCATAGTCATCTGTAGCACTTGATTTCTAGATACAATACTAAGTGTGACATGCCCCAAGTTCTATCCAAATTTATATCCAAGAAACATGAGGGATCAACTGTATTTGAAAATCATGATTACTGACTATTTTTCTTGGGAAAAATTCTCAAAGAGCAAAGTTGAAGTACTGATCTAACAGTTTCAAATGATATATCCCATGATGTATGCATTGTAAATACTATCTGATCTAAAAAGTGCTTTGCCACCATGAAAATTTACATTACCAAGTCATACAGTATAATCTAAATCTCACAGGGGAGACCTTCCTCTGTGCCAGGGGAACAAAACACAGCAGTAGGTTGCTTTTGATTTAGGATTGCTGCTACCATTGCAAAGAAAAACTGTAACCCCCCCCCCCCCAAAAAAAAAAAAAAAAAAAAAAAAAAAAACTTTAATGACTAGGATGATTTTAGGTAAATACCAGACCATGAACTCTGATTCAATCTCAGGAAGCTAAGTTAACTTCCCATAGGCAGTATAAGCCTATTTATTAATATCAAACAACCTAAAGGTCAGTTTTTTTTCAGATTCAGAAATAAAAACCAAGTTAAATATTTTATTGCATTGCATTTTTGCATTTAGAGACAGTGTCTTTCATTTGTATTTATTGAGGAATGTATCAATCCATAAATTCAACTGAAAATAAATTCCAAATATTCTCTAACTTATTTAAGTAATCATTATTCAGTCTTCCTGTTTAAATTATTTTTTTCATTTTTAAAGGAAATTAGTTTTCTGTACTTTCATTTTCCTACAAATTTTAATCCAGCATTTTTCTTACAACTTTGGTTGGTATAGATTTTACTTATAAGGTATTGAGAATATTTGACTCCAAAAGTTATAAATAGACTTAAATACTTTGCATGATGTATGATTTTCTATGTGTGTATATATATGTCAAATCAGAAAACATACATGTATACATATGAAAGATCTAAATATGTTCCTACAGTGCCATATATGTGTGTATACATATACATATGGTATAGAAATTTAAGAAATATGTTGTTTATTACAGATATATCACATATACTTATTAAATTACTGGAATAGTTTGTGGTAAAATAGACAGCATATTATAATTAAATTAGAAATATGTGAATTTATTTTCTATCCACATTATGTAATTTACTAAAGATTTGACAGCAAGCAAATTTTTCTACTTCTTAGCCTCAGTATCGTTTTTTTCTATGAGAATGATGGACCAAATAATATTGATTTTCCTTGATAATATTGGTCTTCTAAGTATAGTACTGTCTTTAGCTGTAAATATTTTGGAAACTGGTATCCTCCTGATAGTTCTAACCCCTTTTCAAAAAATGATACATAAAAAATACCAATGCTTTATCTGAAAGATCTTGTCAAACAAACAAACAAAAATCTTCAATTTAACTCCTTTCATCTTGGATTCTACAACTATTGGTCAGTTTCATTGATTAAAAGGTAAAAGGACTTGAACAGAAGATGTTTAAGATCTCTTTAATTTCTGGAATTCTACTGATTTAAAATTGATATACTAAGAAAAAGTATATTTTTGTTAACTTTTGTTAAAAAGAGTCAAGATATCCTAAAACAAAACTGATATACTTGAAACTGTTTCTGAATTATCGAAAGTTATTTCCAGAAATATACTCTAGTCATTTCTGAGGAGCTTTGTGTCTCAAATAACAGCTCTTTTATATGTAAGATTTTTAGCAAATACCCAGCAGTATTGATGCTGAAGCCCTAGATAGAACTTAGTTCTGAAATGCACATTTGACACTCAAATCTCCCTACAATCTTTCTGCCATTCAGGGATCAAACCTACATTTTCATGTCTCCTGTAATCTAGAATACATTTTCTCCCAAAATGACTCATTTTGATTGTGGATGGATGGATGGATAGATAGATAGATAGATAGATAGATAGATAGATAGATAATATATGTATACACATACACACAAACATATATAATTTCTTTGTATTATATGTTATGAAAAAACAGATATGAAATTATGGTGTAATGTTTATACTGTTCTCAGATTACTTTCTTGGAAGTGGTTAACTATTTCTAATAACTACATGAACAATGGGAAATATTTAAATTAAACTTCTGGAACCTTTGATGTTTCATGTAATGTGTGTAAAACAATTCTTATCTTGAAGATCTATAGTTGAGATGAATATGGATAGTACATGTACAGTCTAAATCATTGTGCCTATGATATAATTTACAAGATATTTTTAATTCCTTTAAGCAGCCTATCCCAGGAGGGAATTAGATGTACATGAGGATATTAAGAGGAAATCTTTGAAAGAAAACTCATGAAAGGATAAAGGGAAGGATGGAACACACAGTTCTTTCCCCATGTACATTACAGGTTGAAGGAAGGATGATTGGCTATAACCATCTGAGACAGAATTGTACTGAGAGGAGAGAAATTCCAGAGATCCTCAAGCCAACATTGTCTTTCATAGGAATTTCCATACTTCATAGGACTGAGCCTTTCTTACTATCTTTGCCATGCTCAATAATTGACTCTGGGTAACTTGTGGAAAGCATGGCTTTGTTGCCCCCATGATGAAAGGATTTGGCAACATAGCAGCTGCTGGTTTTGGTTAATTATCATCCCTGCAGGTGAAGATCTGCGAGACAGTTTTTATGGTTGCTATAATTCTTGACCTTTTTTAGTATAGACCTACTTCTGTGCACAGGAACAGATTCTATTATCATGTTGGCTTCTCTCCCTGAGAATTCAGCAGATGCAGGTTACTGGATGAAGAAAAGTAGCTTCTTTTGATCTCAACACCTCATGTGGTCCTTGTCCTCTCTTCTCCACTATCCATTCCAAATTTTTCTCACCCATAAAACTGGGAGATGATGGTTTTGTCCTGCTTGGTGATTTGAATAAATACCTTAATTCTTGGTGGTTTCACACATATCTACCTATCTCATTGCCTTCTGCTGCTCAGTAGCAATTACCCTTACCATCATGGTGACTCTTCCTCTCTAGTAATCCACAAAAGTAATCCATAACTATTAGCTCAGTGGAATTTTTCTTAAAAAGGGGAATAGAGTACAACATAGATTTAACACATTATTGCAAAGTAAAGAATGACTACACACATTTTAGAGCTTGGCTCCAACTTTAGCTGTGCCTTAAAAGATCATTCCAGCCCTCTGCAGTTCTCATTATTTCTGGATGATGACCTTTATGTAGTGGTATACTGGAATCAACCTGTACAAGATAATAACATTTTAGAACATTTCTAACTGGATAAGATTGTATTGGTAGCTTTTGTTGGCATGGAAAAGATGTGTATACCACATAAATGTGTAAATATTACAAATGTATCTCCGATGAGAGTCAGCTGTTAAATATTTACCAGCACATCATGAAGTGTGTGATACTCTCACACATCCAAGACTGTGAACAGAATAGTCTGGTTGAGTGATAAGCTGTATTGAATATCATGTTTGTGGATCAAGACTTCCAGAGCTCCCAGTGATGGCTGAAGCTCTATTGGTGTAATAAGCAAGCAAACATCATATTCTGGGAAAAATATAACTGAGAAGATGAACCCATTAATGTTAACATGATTGAAGGAATCCAACATAGTCAACTTGCCACCAAAATAATATTGCCATGTTGGTGGCTCAGTGTTAGGATTTGAGGTTTGAAAGAAGACACAGCCTTCTTTAAACTGTATTCAGACAATTTCTTTACATTTTAGTGTCAAGAAAATTTGCAGTTGCTATTAGTATTGCAGATATAGTACATCTGAACTTGATTAAAAATTATAGTTGCCTTTTTCTTTTTCCCTTCTTTTCTTTGTTGATCTCAACAACATATATTAGCAAAGATGATAGTAATCACTGAGGTTATGATTCATTTGGCTACATACTATAAATTGTATGTTAAAATAAATAGCCTAAAAATTATACATTAGTAGATTTTCAACATTTCACAAACTACCAGAATACTGATGTCTTTCATTTCTCTCCAAAACAATAAAACAAAAATAAAATGAAAAAAAAAATATTAAGAAATTTTTAATATAAGATTTTAAGTTATAGTTCTAAATTTATTTTAAAAATCAGTTCTGAAGGTTAATTTAAATTTAAATTTATATTTATATATATACTGAGGTCAAGTTCTAAGTTAACTTGGAGACAGGATATTTATATTTCTAAACCTAAATTTACCTGAAAACAGAATTGATTAAGTAATAGATTTTGGAAATAACTTCACAAATCATATAATTTATGTCCATTTTATACCTAAAATGTCCAGAATACCTAAGTGGTTAGCATGTAAAGGAAAGATATTTATATAGCCCAAGATTCTAGAGGCTAAAATATCCAAACAATATGGTGCCAAGTCCTCTGGTGATGGGCCCCAGGTGCAACACAGTAGAGGAAAGAGAAATGCTTACAAGCAGAGGAAGCCAAGCACAAGGAAGGGCTTTGCTTTTTAACAATCTTCTCTAGAGAAAACTAACCCAGTCGTGTTGGGACTGTGTTAATCACTTTTAAAGGTCAAGCCATCATGAAATAATCATCTTCCACTAGGTCCAACCTCTTAAGGATTCACCACCTTTTAATATTTTCTATTCGGCAGATGATCTTTATTTAAACCATAGAACTTACTAAGTTATTTTAAAACTAATGAATTTAATTTGATTAATTCATTTTGAGTCACATATAAAGACTAGTTGCTCCAGAGAGGAAAGACAATTTTCTTTTTTATTTTAATAGGGGAATTTGGTAATTTGCCAAGGCGTTCTTAAATTTGCAATCCTCCTGCGTATAGTTTCCCAGTAGTTGGGATTATAGGTATGTGCTACTGTGCCCTAGTAGAGCTAAAGAAAAACATAGAAGTAATTAATAGTAGCATTGGGAAAATACCATAATCTGAAAAATTTATATTTTAAATAAATTTTCAGTGAAGAAAAAATATTTTATAATCAAAACTGTAATAAGACTTATTATATTGGTACATATATGCTATTAAAGAGAATAACTATTCTATCTGCAATGGGGAGTCTTATAATAAGCAAACTAATGAATAAGTGAACTTCCATTAATATGTGAGGGCAAATGGCCATTTTATTCTTTTAATATTTATTTTATCACAATTGAGAATAAATGTTTTCTCAAAATTCATTTAGCATTTTGTATATATATATGCTAATATATTTACAATATATATATATATATATATATATATATATATATATATAGTAAGTGTTTAATCAGTATCTCACTTTTCTTTATTATTTGATCTCCCAATATGTATCAGCTTTAGTGTACTACATATATTATAGTAGTAGTTGAAATAATTTTTTCTGTGGTTTGCTTTTTAATTGATTATATTGTTTTTGAGTTAAGTAAGTTAACTAAGGTGGTAAGTAGTTTTTTTTGGTCATTTGTCTGTATTTATCCATCTATTTCTGTGAATATTTATTTTCAAAGTACTTTTTATTTCTCAGTTTGCACTTAACTATTGGTACTTCTTAGGAAGCTTTTCCTAGGGAGATGTAAACTACACCAAATTCAAGCTGTGACCAAGTGCTGATGACCCTCACATTTATATTATCGGCCCAAATGTCTCCTGTGCTCTAGCCAGATTCCTGTAAATTGCCATCTGGGTGTTCCCCATTCACCTCCGATCAAAGAAATCTCAAATTATACTTGACAACATTTTCTCTCTCCATAAATTTGCTCACCTCAAGTTAACAGAAATAACTGTTCAATGTGATGGGCTTGAACTTGTGTGATCTCTGCTATCCTCTCCCCTCTACTCTTGGGTCATTAGTGTCTCTTAAATCTACCATTTCATCTTTTTTCCATCTGCCACTGTCTTTGTTCAAATGTCAATTTCTCTCATAGAGAAACTTATTTCTTTCCAATCCTTGAAAATGATCTTTCTAAAGTTCCTGTGCTAATTTTAACTTCTATTTTCATTTATCAAATCTAATCTAAATATTTTGTGTGTGGAAAAATATAATTAAATTTGTTAATGATATATTCTTAATAGGATTTTGAGAATTATATCCATTAATATTGATTTTTGGTATCATTCAAATATTATCATTTTCATAATTGAATAAAAATTGTGTTGTTAATGTGCAGCAGCACGAACAAAACTCTTCTGGAGTTAAGATATGTTGATGGCAGCAGGAACATTACAAATGTTTTTGGTAAAAACAGTCTCACAATTAGACTGCTAATCATACCTCTGGTTGCATTGAAAACCAGTGATGTTTATAATGCCTGTGCTACTAGACAGCTTTCCAAACTCCTGACAGAAACAAGTAGATGAAAAAAAAAAAGTCAGACCTTGACATTATTAAATGATACATGAAACAGTTATGCTAATTTAACCTTTGACTTATCCATCATTTACTACCCCAAATCTCTTTTGAAGTAAAATTTTCATTCAATTACTTGAAAAATGTGAGTCTGCACATATTTTTTCATTAAAAAGACATTAATTTTTCTGAGAAATCACTAGAAAATTGAATCTCTATTAGATTTCAGAAGGCAAGAGTAAATAAAACATGCATATATTTTTATGTCAATTAATTTTACAAAACAACCTTCACCAAGATTTTAGGTTAAAATGATAACTGCTTGTTTTATTTATAATAAGTGAAGAAAGACTATCTTTTTTTATACTATGATGTTGTTTTATTTTGCAGCAAATGAAAATAATTGTGGGTTTATAAAATAAAATAGTGATGGTTTGTTATTACTGAAGCTGAAAGAATGAATGAGAATGAAAGTAGGAATTTTCTCAATTTATTCTGTTATATTATGCTGTTGAGGACTGGTTCTGTTTTGCTTTATACAGGTGATTAAAGCAGTAGAGGAAGGCTACCGTCTGCCAAGCCCCATGGATTGTCCTGCTGCTCTCTATCAATTAATGCTGGATTGCTGGCAGAAAGACCGGAATAGCAGGCCCAAGTTTGATGAAATAGTCAACATGTTGGACAAGCTGATTCGCAACCCAAGTAGTCTGAAAACTCTGGTTAATGCTTCAAGCAGGTAAAAACCAGACCTGAGCAATTTCGCTGAATGTATCTCATTCAGAAAGATGCCACAAATATTTCACCAATTAAATCATACTTACATACATGTTAATCTATGAATTTGTAAGACACTGATATATTTGAATATAGCTTTTTGTCTTATAATGAAGGAAATATGTGATAATACTTAAAAGCATTGTTACCCAATATAATAGTTAATGTTCCTGTTTCAGGAAAAAAAAAAAAGCAAACTGCATAATATTATGAAGATAACTGAATTCAGGTAGCATTAAAAAGATAACACTCAAGTGGTGTGTTTTTATATGTTTTTGGAGGATAGGTGTAGATTGAGGAATGAAGAAAGGTCATTTAAACCCTTATATATTTTATATGTTAAACCATAAATGTCTAACCAAAATTACACTTTGATTTCTTTAGAATACATTTTAGCATCTGTCATTAAATATAAGTAGGTTTAGTGTTCTTATTTTATGCATACTGAAAACTTGTATGCCATTTTGCTCAGATTTTGTTATATAGGATTATTTGGTTAATCATTTAGTGGGCAGTTTGAGCAAGATTTAAAGCTGACAAATAAGTAATCTTGTGAAGAAAATTTGTGTGAGCAAATATTTATACTTCTACTTTTCTGAATGGCAGCATAAATGCATTTAATAGTCTTGCACACTTGTAAATTGTTTCTCTTTATCTAAAAAACTGTCATTTTATTCTAATATATATCAGTTTGATTCTAAACTGGAAAATTTTCCAGGTTGTTGTTTTCACTATGATTGAAGCAGTTGTCTGTTTTGACAAGAAATAATATTATGCAAATAACTGAATTGTTTGCCTGTTAGTGTGAACTAAATGAGAAACAATTTGTGGATCAAGTTACATAAGTTCTATGATTCTAACATAGCATTTGCTTACTAGACTAAAGGTCATTTTAAATATAAATGAGGAAGAATTGTCAAAATCTGTTAAGGCATCATTGACTTCCTGAGGTAACAAATGCAGAATGAATCTTCATAGAAATTTTTTTTCTGTATGTTGTTCTCTAATGTCTAATCTTAAATCTCCAATTGTCATGTAAAATATTAAGCCTTTTCCTATTCTGCTTATTTGAATTATGTTGTCACACATATGGACATAGGAGACGAAATAATAAAATAAATTCTTAATGTTCTAAATTATATTAAATCGCTTGGCCATCATCATTGAGCTTGAGAATAGTTTAAAATTTTTAAGAATTTACACATTTTCTTCTTAATACATGGAATTTGGCTTTCTAGGTTTTGTTTGAGCAGGTTTAGCTTTCACACTATACTGTCCTTTGTGCAGTCATCTGCAAATCCTAAGTCTTAAAGTCATTAGTTCCTGGTTCACTATGGCTTTTTCCTTCCCTACTCATGTCACAAGATTTGGTGGTTTCAATAAGATGATTTTCCAACATCTTTTAGTTTCTTGGAATTATTTCTTTCCGTTATTTTGTGTTCTAACTTACTAAGACTCTCTTTTCTATTATCATATTGTAGGTCTTATTTTTACCAGAAATTGAAACTCTTGCATTTCATCTTCAAAGTCATACTTTCCAACTATTTTCTCCTAAATTTCTATCTCAGACAATATTTGGAACCATTGCATAATATTTAAGAATTACTGAAACTTATTCATTTAATCATTCAACAAATACACACCATTCTGTCCGTGTCATACTGTTGGCTAAGTGCTGATTATACAGCATTAGGTAAATAGACCTAGATATGTGCTTTTATGCTACCAACACACAGTTGGAGGAGAGAGATATTGAACAAAATAAAAGTTGCAAAAATAGTTGTGTTCAGTTTTGGAGTAGAAAGTGAGAATAGAAGTCAAAAAGATAACTTGGAGGCATTAGTGATTGTGCAAGTGAGATATATGTGTTGTGTTTGTCAGTTTCTCATGATTGTGAAACAAATACATGACAAGAACAACTTATAGGAGAGATTTATTTTGGCTCATAGTTTCAGAAGTTTCAATCCAAAAGAAGAAACATCCTGGTGGAAGGGAATGGCAGAGGGAAATAGCTCAGCTCATTGTCACTAGGAAGAAAAGAAAAGGAAGAGGATAGGGGACAAGATGGTTCTCTTGGGCATGCTCCCCACCACAGTGATCTATTACTTCCAACTAGAAGCCACCTTTTCTACAGTTTCCACCTCCTACCAGTAGTCCACCAAATCATTAATCTATCAAATGCATTAATCCACTGAAGACATTAGAGCCCTCATCATTGAATCCCTTTCTGAAAGTCCCACCTCTGGACATTGCTGCATTGGAGAGTAAGTCTTCAACACTTGGGGGACAAAACTATAATAGGTATCGTAAGGTAGTGAGGAAAGAGAAGTAGTCAGATATCAGTGTATTCAAGGTAGAATGGAGAGTATGTGCATATTCTGTGGATTTATTGCAAGGAGAGTGAAGACAAGGTACACTATTGTATGATTATATTGAGGATCTTGAGTGTAGGAGATGTGTGTGGAACGCGATGAGGACTGCAGTATCAGACATGCTGGCATGATGTTCCTATGAGAAATGTGAAACCTAGTCTGGAGATAAAAACAAACAAACAAACAGAAAAACAGATGACATTTGAAGCCATGACAGTGAGTAAAATTGACTAGAGTACAGTGAAGTTATAACTCAATTAGTGAAGATATAGGGATAAGTTCTGACTCTCCAAATTTTAAAGTCAGCCAAAGAGAAAGTCAAAGTCAAAGGAGATTGATGAGTAGGTAGGAACACAAAATCGTCCCCCCCTCAAAAAAAGGAGAGAATATTAATTCAAAACAATGTTGAGATAGAGTGGATTTCAGGAGAATGATAGTAATGGTGATGGTTGTTTATTTCATACAGGTCAGTCATTTTATAGATTAAAAGTGTTCATTCATTTTGACAAAATAAAGATTATTGCTCACCTTAACCCAATCAAGAATTGGGTTTTGTAGAAACCATGCTCAAGTGGATTGAAATGTAAATTGAATGTGAGATAAGTGCAAATACTATAAGCACAAAGACAGATATTTGTGTTCTGTATCCTATGGTTGCAGTATAATTAGGTCATCTCTAATTTATGAGCATTTAAATTATTTTTTACTTTCAGGTACCTTTTGGATGCATTTCTAGAAATCATCATTGATATCTCATTTTTATTATTACCAAAGTTTGCAGATTTGTTTAGCTAAAAGCAAATAATGGTTGGATTGGTTATTTTCAATTTTTATATGTTTTTGAATTAATTTATTTTCTAAGTTCTGATACTTACTCTAGGTGAAATAACAAGCACACTAATATATGAACAGAAAATAAAAAATAAATGGCTTCAGAACTTCCTGAAATATTAACTTAAATAAGCATGGGTTTTTTTAAGTACTCAGTGGACTGAGTTTATATTGTCATGTACTTTGAACCATTTGCTTTCATGTTAGCATTTGTATATTTTCCCTGTAAATATATTTATAACCTCAGTAAATTTTGTTAAAAAAAGCATTAAAGTGTTCTTTTAATATTTATGTTTTATGTGTTTTAGAGTATCTAATTTGTTGGCAGAACATGGCCCTCTAGGATCTGGGGCCTATAGATCAGTAGGTGAATGGCTAGAAGCAATCAAGATGGGCCGGTATACAGAGATTTTCATGGAAAATGGATACAGTTCAATGGACGCTGTGGCTCAGGTGACCTTGGAGTGAGTAATTTTTTTTCTGATAATTTTTATGTAATTTCTGGGGCAAGAAAATTTGTTCAGAAACCAATCTGGATGAGAACAAGGGAAATCAGTTAACCCCTGTCCATGTGTGGCAGTTTTCAAAGAAGCCTCATCTTTTTTAGCCTGTATTGTTAACAACTGCATGGTTAATGCTTTTTGTGACCAGTATCTTTGTGTTTTTTTTTTTTTTTTTTTTTGCTTCAAACAAATAGCATTTGAATATTTGAATAATTGGAATAAGAGCTCCATTGCAAAGTACTGGTATTTTGTGTTGTGGAAAAAGATGTTTTCTTGACAAGTTTTTATACTGGTACCTATGTTATATGAATGTAAATACAAAACAAAACAAACTGTAAGCACAATTGGTGTGGCTAATCCTACATAACAACAAAACATATTCCTAAATTTCAGTTCTCTACGATGAATATCCAGGTAACAACAGCTTAATCAAAGCCTCCTTGGCAGGAATCTCATTTAAAGTCTAAGTGGTGCATCTTATATTCTTACAATCCAAGAATATCCTAGATCCTGCCTTCAATTTGTTATTTGGTACAATCTCAGTGGAACCAATTGTGCCCTTTTCTGTTTGCACGTTTAAGATAAAGCTTATCAAATCTTATTAAATAAAAATCACTAGAGTTAAATATAAAGTTATTTAAGGTTGTAAGTTGTTTGTATTTTATTATATATTCTGTATGTGTAATTATTTTAGCCTACTTGTTATTTGTGAAAATTAACTGTTATTATGGTGGTTCCATCTAGACTACATTACCATTAATGATAACTTACATCAAATTACCTGCAAACTCAAAAGTTAAAATATTGTTGTAAGGATTAGAAAATGTTAAAATACTCTAAACCACTAAATCACTGTCTTGATATCATTACTTCCCAAAATAGGACCATTGAAGATTTCTCTTCCCATCTCTGCTGTTCTGCCACTCTTTAATTCATTAAATTCACTGCTCATCCCCACAAAAGGTAACAGGGTACCATCATTTATCACTAATTAATGTCACATTCTCAGCATTCCCTAACTTCATACCGAGAATTAAACTGACCTAAATTGCAACCACTCAGCACTCAGCTTGCTTTCCTGACTCATTTAGTACCATCTTCACTGTCACCGCCAGACCATGCCTACTTGATGACATGTATGCTTTGCCCATTATTCCTTTGGACATGTGTGCTATATTTAAAATAGTATACAGAAAAAATTATTGATTATTTAAAACTATTTTTACATGATTGCTATTTAATTTTTCAGTAAAAATGGTCATTTTAATTTATTAAAGTCATTTGTCATTTTATATTAAAATGATACTGTAGGTATTTCTTCTACCCAATGTCGGATTACTTATAAATATATAATAAAATTATTTGCATTAAACAATGTCTCTTTTTTATTGAGATAGCATATATTATATGTATACACACACATATATATATTTATGTATATATAATTTAATCTACCTAGTTTTTATTTCTTTATTGACTGAACTGTTGTAATCAGAATGATTTTGCACTAATTACTTGTGTTGTATTTCTTTGGGGCCTCCAAATACTATAAATATGCTGAGTATGTATGCATTATAGTTTCACTTTTCTTACTCTTTGCTATTTATTTTCCTGTGTACTCTTCATATCACCAAAACTCTCTTCATTGTGTATGTCTTCTTTCTCAAGTCTTAACAACCTCTTCTATCTTCTTATAATGGTTCTTCTCTAGCTTGTAGTTTCTTGCTATACAGCCTCATTCAGATATTTTTGCCTTTTAATTTATTTTCTCTGACCAAAAGGGGAAGGTAAAACTAGGAGATTTAGTATATTTCCAGTCCAGCCAATGTTGGTCTTCTGATGTCCACTGCTTTAAATTCCCGGGGCCCATAATCATTAACATATTCCTTACTAGGAATTAGGCATACAAATCCTAATGCCAGTAAAATTGACTTCTTAGAGAATCCAGCAACAATAAATATATATTCTCTTCTTTACTGTGCTTTTGAATCCACAGTTTTCCAAATAAGTAAGAAGATATTTATCAAGACACTATGTTAAATAACATACAAAATGAGGAGTAATCAGTTATTTGTTCAGTTAAGAATTTATTAAAAAAAAAGATAATCTGTGTAATTTCTCTTGCTCAACAAAAAAATAAAAATAAAAATACCTAGTAAAAAAACTAATTATTAACAGCAGAGGAAAAAAGGATTATCAACAAAAATGCAGGACAACCTGATAATGATTTTTCATACCAAAATATGTAAATATTAATTTATGAAGTCCATATAATGCTATAATAAAATAATAAAATGTTATATCTAGAGTTATTGTCATGGCCTGATAGATGAAAGAATACATCCATAGCTCTTGTCAATGTTTAGAAAAATATTTAAATCAACTTTAAATAAAGCAAATGCTCAAACTGCCATGTATAACACATTTGTTGCAATTGTTGACAACAAATTTGTTTTCATAGTTGATTTAGAACAAGAAGAGTTAAAACACAGTTTTTCAGAACCACATGCTTTGGTAAAAGTGTACTTCATGAAGTTTTAGTTTTATTTCTTTATGGACTGTTTGCCAGTACATGCATATATGTATGAATGAAGAAAAATGAAGAATTTGGGGATTTGGGAGTCATTGCATGTTCCATGAAATAACTTTCAACCTTAGACGTTTCTGTGTGTTAGTCTCTCTGACTATACCATGTTAATCAGTGTACAGTTTTCATATTTGAATAACTGTTGTGCGGTAATGACAAAAGCTGTACTATCATATATAAGTGCACTGAGTTGTTGTTGACAGGGAATTGTAAGCCTGAGGCAAGTTTCAAATTGAATCCAAAGATCTGAATTAAAGACAAAGTCACAGCTGCTTTTTTGACTTCTTGTCAGGCCAGTACTGTCAACTTTTTGTTATTCAGAAAATGAGCAAAACCCAATGAATTCAAATATTATACCAATTGTATACAAGCTAAAGGCATTCAATGTTAGTACCAGTTCATAAAATTGAGTTTTAAAATATTAAAATAGACATTTTCCAAATTTAGAGCCAAAATGTGTGCAGGTTAATTCAATTAGATTTATTAAATTATCAGTAAAGTCAAAATGCATAAGTTAGTATGTAAAATATATATGTATAGGAGGATTCCATATCTTTGGTGTTCTATGTAGTTAAGGCAAAAATCCAAGTCTAGCCCTTACCATGTATTACCTAATGAAAATGTTAATAGGCCATGATTAAATCTCCTTTTGCCAAATATAAATATACCAACCTTGTACAGTAGCTACACAAATGATTATAAGGATTATTTTTTAAAAATATACCAAAAAATGGAACTGTATGACAAAACCACAAAAGAAGCTAAAAACATTGAATTTTAGTGAATGTTCATTAATCTCTCTTCTCCCTTCTCCTATCAAGCCAATGTTGATGAGTTTAAATTCTAGTAATATAGCTACCAGGTATGTATGTATAGCAGAAAGGAGAAAAATGAGCAAAGAAAGGAAACATCCACAAATGGATTAATTTTACCCTGAATAATCAAGAGTTGGCTTAAATATTAGCTAGACACCTCTTATAATAATTTATTTTTTCTTCTACTAGTTTGTAATCATGATATCATAAAACAGTGTTTTTGCATTGTTTAAAGTCATGAAAAAAATGTTTAAAAAGATGATGAATTGTAATCCTAACAGTGTAATTTTATTTTACTTGCAGCTCTTCTAAAACTAATCATGTGTTGGCAATAAAATACAAACTATTTTATATAAAAACACTATTCTTAACATATGTAAATAGGATTATCATCATTGGAATTGGCATTGGATATTACTTAAGATTATGTATGGTCATTATGAAATTAATAGAATATATTTATATCTTTATTAATTTTTATGTTGTGCTGAGGATCAAACCTGTTTAAAAGGGAGACACACTAAAAATTACCTAACTATAAAACTATCTTACATAGAAAAACAAAATGAGAAAAATGGTGTATCATGCACCATTTCCAAATATTTCTTTCAAAAGCCATTGTATATATGGCAGGAACATAATCACTATATATAAATATTTTTTCTCAAATTTCTGTCATTATTACTGATAATCTGATCATTTAATACATGTATTAGATATAAAATGGAAATTGTTGGAAGTAATAAAGAGTGTGAGACAAACCACTTACAATACTTCAATAATGCATTTATCAGTATTAGAATAAGGACATTTAACTTGTGCTGTAGACAGTTTCTAATGTCATTTCAATTCTCAAAGGAAGTATCATTAAAAACATGATTGAAGGGGTTTCTAAAGAAACTACTTAGAATACTTATTGAGAATAAGTAAACTTGAATAAAAAAAATCTTATATTTACATTTCACTGAAAATCATATTATATGGAGATATATATATATATATATATATATATATATATATATGCACATTACCTCAAAATCATGCTATTTTTGTCCTTTAATTTGATATTTTCAATGACAAAGTCTACTGGGCAACGTGACGCATGCCTGTAATCCTGGCAGCTAGAGCAACTGAGGCAGGAGGATCACCAGTTCAAAGCCAGCTCAGCAAAAGTGAGGTGGTAAGCAACTCAGTGAGACCCTGTCTCTAGATAAAATACAAAATACGGCTGGGGATGTGGCTCAGTGGTCAAATATCCCTGAGATCAATACCAGGTACCCCCTCCAAATGACAAGCCTGTTAAGAAAAACAATAACATCCCATTAAAGACACACATTATTTAAGGCAATATGCAAAATGCAGTTTGATATTTTCATAACTCCACTTCTCCTTTGAGGAGAGGGGAATGAAAGGAACTGCAAAGGAGGGAGAAAGAGGCAAAGGGAAGAGAGAGAATGAATTTTAGTGGTCTGACCATCCATATGCAACTGAGAGAAGCATCAAACAATAAATTGATCTGAAAATAAACTTTTATGCTTGGTTCACTGGAAAGATTGAAATGATTTTAACTTAAACCCTAATATCTAAAATAAGCAAATTTTACTTTCCCTTAAACACAAATTCTATACCATATTTATTAATCAAATTCCATTCCTCAAAACATTTACTCTTTAGCATTATTTCTTGGAAAAATTTATAGTCTTTGTGTGGTCAAGTCATTTCCAGAGAAAGAAGTCATATTTACAAGTTAAAGCAGTGAATACAAAAATAAGTCAAACTACAGATTTGATGTCATTCTGACCAAACAACCAGGAGTTGGAATATGGAACATATACATACAAACTCCTTTCAAATTAAAGTTTTGTTATTGTATATGAAATGTCCATGATGTTTGAGTTGGAAAAATCTATGAATTACTTTTTCAAGTCACTAAGAACTGTAATTGTTATTCTCAAAATATTATTTCTAATAATTAGTATAATAATTATGAATTATATAATTTAATGATATGCATATGTGTATTTAAATATATATTTATACTTCCCAGATTGGATTCAGAAATATAAATTAGTATGGGATAGAACATATATTTTAAAACATCAATTCTAGTCCTAATTAAATTTTTTTGCAGAACTTGATGGTTTTTAGGTTATGAAATTTAAATTTTGTTCTTTTTCTCCTGACTTTGATCTGCACTGTACTAGTGAACACCTATGAATAGCTACATGTATACAATTTTTCATGATTCATGCAACATGTGGAGATATAATATTAATTAGCCCATAATGGAAACTGTCATGAAACACAGATCCACTTACTATAGTCTCATCAAAGAAGTTTGTGCTTGGTTTCCTTCTTTAGATATCTTCTTTCTTATGGAATTTTCAATATTTGATGATATATGTACAAATTTCTGGTTTTACAAATGAATAAATTGGTGCATTGTAGTTTGACATGGCTTTGCTCAAAATCATATTTAAGAACAATGAAAAATTAAGAGTATGGATTTTGTGATCAGGTAACTGGTTTTGGTTCTATTCTTGCTACTTACAGACTGTGCCATGTAGCCAAATGACTTAAATTCTCTAAGAATGTGTTAGCTAATCCATAAATGGAAATTTTAAAAATAATCTATATCTTAGGTTTTAATATTTTACTAGCAAAGAAGGAGATGTGTATTAAGTGCTATTATATTTATGTTTAGTGATACAATTCTCAACCAGGGGAGATTTTGCCACTCAGAACAGTTGTCAATGTCTGAAGGCATTTTCTTTCTTTTAACAACAAGGAAGGATTGGTGGTGGTACAGTGCTGCTTTTATCTAATGGGTTGAGCTGGGTTGCTGCTGAATATCCCATGTCATACAGAACAGCCCCCAATAACACAGAAGTGTCCAGCTCATGATGTTAATAGGAGCAAACATGACAAATTTTGTTAAGTTGAAAAGAGACAAGATTAAATTCAAGTTTTTTTTTTTTAATTCTTAGTTTATCATTACCTATTATAGTCAATTTCATCACTATACTAACAATAGTTATTTTGCTTCAAAGTAATATTTATTGACTTCTAAGTTTTGCTGATGATTCTCTTCCATGACACATCTATCATTATTATTTAATATTGTGATTTGGCATCTTATAACTGTAATAATATCTAAATTTAATATCCATATTTTAATAATAAATATATCTTCATCATAAGTATCAATAGCATTTAAAATTATTTTTTGGTTACTTGTCATTTCCTAAAACCTTCACAGGAAATCAAGAAACTATAAAGGGAAAAAAGAAAAGATATTATTTCAGTAAGCAATTCTTTGCAATATCAATATAAATGGAGTAAATTTAATTTTTATTCTCTGATAATTAAGAAAATCTTTTCAGTTCATTTGAAACAATTTAATTGTACCTATAATAATCCTGATTGTCTTCTACCTATTACATTCTAAAAAAATCTGGAATGAATACATTTACTGAATGCAAAGATACTTCATTTTTAGCCTAATCTTTTCCAAAAAGCAATTTTATAACATGCCAAACAACTTTTTTCATTTAGCATTTTAAATTATTGATGCTCATTTTTTCTATACTTAATGCATATTATTTTCCAACTAAACCTGAATCATAACATTTGTCAAATACACACTTTATGAGAAGAGCATTCTTGAGTTTCTATGAAATAACATTGAAAAATCATAGGTGCATGGGTGCAGGAAGCTCCATAATATGCCTGACTAGTTTAGAAATCTAAACATTTGTAATCTTCTTTGAATAATGTGCTTGTTTAAAAAAAAACACATGAAAAGTATCTTGTTTGAAGGACTTTTTGAAAGTGTGTAATCTTCAGCTCTAAATTCCAGTAAAGTTTAAGTGTTATTTGATAAAGGCGAAAAGCTCTGGTATTTTGAGTTCAAAGCAAAAATTAACATAAAATATTGTTATAAGAGCAATGTATTGATGATTATTCCCTAAGGATACCTGTTATACATAATTATGTTATAGAATTATTCATTTAAACCATTCAGTCTTCAACCACTTGACTGTAAAATTTTAAATAAATATTTTGTGCTCCATGAAAATAAATGCACGTTACAGGTTCACAATTTTAAAACTGTTCAATGAAATAGAACCTTTCAAGTTCAATACTTATTGGTAAGATGTGAAAATGTGTTTGTTCACCACTCTGTGTCATTAAAATCATTCTGTTTACCAAGAGGGGCGAATATGTTTTGTATAATTGCCTGTTATAAATACTTCATTGTCTGCAAAAAGATTTTTTAGAGGTACAATTTCAGAGACTACCTTTGATATTTGGATCCTGAATGTCTAAATTGGGACTGAAATTAACTAGTTTCTGCAAGAAGTTTGCCCCAGCGTGAAATTTTGAGGTGTGCTACAAATTGAACCAATACATACATCCAATGTGTGCTTTCTTCATGCAGGGATTTGAGACGGCTTGGAGTGACTCTTGTCGGTCACCAGAAGAAGATCATGAACAGCCTTCAAGAAATGAAGGTGCAGCTGGTGAACGGAATGGTGCCATTGTAACTTCTGCTAATGTCACTTCTTCCAGTGAATGATTCTGCACTTTGTAAACAGCCCTGAGATTTATTTTAACAAAAAAAGGGGAAAAAGGGAAAACAGTGATTTCTAAACTTTAGGAGAGCTATGTCTCATCCACAGAATTTGTAATCAGTGTTTTACTAAAATCTCCATATCTTCCTCTCAGTTTCTTCATTTTTCATGAAGCAACAATGAACTTCAGAAAATAAGAACAAAAATACTCTCTTATGTTACCTAAAAATCCTCACCACTACTTCTACAAAATTTTTACATGAAAATACAAATATATAGCACCTTCACAGACTAAATTAAGGCAGCCCCTTTCAAAACTTCCAGGGATCTACTTGAAAGGAAAAGTCTTATAGCCATTTGTGGGCTAAGAAAAGCTGCAGTTTACTGAAGTTTACTTCAAGTCTTAATTGTCTACATAAGTGTATTGAAGAGCAATATGATTAGATTATTTCTTAATACATATCTTCTTTTGTAATTTTAAAATGCTATTTACATGGTATTAAGTTATAGAAACTAGTTTATAAACACATTGCTTGATCAAGGAAAAGTACAATACAGGGTGTGTATTTATTTTTCTGTGTTATAAAATTTACTTTTAGTTGCTCTTCTAGAGACTATTAGGTAATAAATGTGTATATATTGTATATTTTGCAATTATCTGAAAACTGATTTAAGTTGGAATTGTGTGGGTATGCTTGCATATGTGTGCATTATCATTCTGCTTGCATTTTAATAGTGTCTCAATTTTAGCAACATATAAGGACAAGTGTTCCAGAGTGTATTACAAATAAGAAAAATAGGGAAGCAGTAAAACAAAATTTAACACAAGCTGGTGTCTCTTTTTCCCTCATGTGTCCAAAAGCTACTAATCTCTTTATTCACTAACAGGAAATGTCTATAAGATTAAATCCCCTTTGGCTTTTTAAAAACACTTTGTGATATCTGTGACAATGCTGTTCTTCTCGCCATTAATCTTGCACCCCTGTAAGAAATTTCACCTTTCTGATTCCCAGAAAATATCTTGTCAAGCAAAGTTGACACCAAAGGGCAAATTTTCAGCAGGATGTAGAAGGATTTAACTGTGCTGGCTTCTGTTAATGTTGTTAAATCCAGGCACATAGCACTAAGCATCACCCTTAAGTGTTAATCCTTTGCAACCATTTCCATTGTGCTTCATTTCTAGACATTTTGATACTAACAAAGCAATGAAATGATGAAAAATACACATTTTTCCTTCAGAATTTTCTTTATTTCAAGTTTTTTTGTTGATGAATGTTTATTAATTTGGTAATTTCACTTTGCATTCAGTTACTGGACATTGAAATTATTTTGAGGAACCAACCTGAAGTATTATTTAATTGTACTTATTAGGGAATATAAGTCATATCTTCTGAAGGTTTCATAAATATACTTGGTGAAGAAGGATAAATAAACCATGGTAAAAATTACATAATTTATTAGAAAGCATACAAAACTGAGCTCCTTATATGAACAAAAGTTCTGTATTATTGCACATTATTAAAATCATGTAATGGCACGTGATCATTCAAGGAGCAGAGTACTTGAATTAGATATCACTTACTCATGATTCTCAATTGTAATAGTAAGTATGTCAGAGTATCCTTGGAGTGGTGGAATCCATAGGACATGTACTTGTGTTAGATTAATTGTACTCTCTTTTTCCTAAGCACCTGTTTTACTTGAATGATGATTTATATAAGAATAAACTTGTGGGGAATAACTTCTTTCTATCCTGCCCACCCTTTACTTAAGCTGTAATGTAACATTTTGTCAAAGCACAAGAAAAAGCCAAAAGAGCAACAAAAAAGAAGGGAGAGAGAAATGGTCTAAATACTTTTCAAATTACGCATTGAGTTCCATCTCTGTAGAGTACCATGGCTCCATATAAACTATGCTGTAATTTTGCTCTATTAGGTTAGTGAAATTTCCAGAGAAAGTTGAGAAAATTAATATTGTTTTGATAGAGTCACAAGTAAACAGACATTACTGTTACTAAAGATGCATTTGTTCAATACAGGGAAATGTTGAATCTAAATCCTTTTATACAAAATAATTGAAGATTGTGTTTCAGTACACTGAATTTTCTAAAGTATGGAAATCTAAGTGATAAAGTATCAATTGAGAAACTTCAAAGTAGGAAAAGACTTAGGAATTGAAAAAGAAAGCTGTTATACGTTTGTAGAACAGGTGGACAAGTCAATATTGTTTGGACATAAAATTGTTTCCAAAATTGTTTTCCAACTTTGTATTTTCAGAGCCAATTGGGATTTTTTGGGTGGTGTATATTTAAGTGACTAGAAGTTACAATGTAAATTTACACATTTTCACAAAGAAAGAATATATATTAATTTGGATTGAGTTGATTTTCCTCCTTTGCAATATTGGTGTTCATTTCAGAAGACGATTCTAATTGAAAATTATATAGCCCCATATAGCTTTCATCCATATCTCAAGTTGGTTGAGAATTTTTTTAATGTTGATAAGATTTTTAGAACAGATAGAGATTTTCAAATAAGATGTACTCTGCCCTCCAAAATAGGAAAGAATACTTTTCTAAAATATGTGTTCATCACTGGATATGTCACCAATTGGAAAGAGCCAATCTCATCTATACCTGTGAGAAATAGAATGAGGAGAACATGCCAATTTTCTGAAATACAGTGAGGCTGTAACCCAGGGCAAGATTTGAAAATCTCAATTGTATAATTTTTATTCTATTGAGTATTCATTTTGTCACCCATCAGTTTACCAAAAATAAAGCATAGATTAGATAATTTTAGCATATACAATAGATTTGCCAAATAATATGCAATTTTACTGTAGCAATATCTTTAGGGCATCGTCTTTCTCAGTGTTAGACTTTGAAAAACAGGTATGTCCAGAAAGTTATTTTCACTTTACTGATACCTGTTGAAGTCACTCAATTACTACTTTTATCAATCATAATTTGTTGCTAATCTTGCCATTTGCTCACATGTAATATGACACATAATTAGTTCCTCTTTTTGAAATGTATTAATTGTAAGTAAAAATGTAAAGATATTCATTGTCCCATTTTTAAAAATGTTAATGTGCATGACCTTTTATTTCATATATTTTATTCACCAACTCAGTGTTCTGAAATTTTAGGATCACTGTAAAATTATATCCCAGGTTAGGAGTGTAGCTCAGTAGTAGAGTGCTTTGCCTAGCATGTGCAAGGTCCTGGGTTTTATTCCCAATACTGAAAAAAATTTGTATCCCAATATTTCATATAAACCTATGTGTAATCAGCATCATTTTAGAGTTGCCTAAACAACACAAAACATTTGTAATTCTGTTTTAGAAAGAGTTTTAACCAGTGTGCAATGATGAAGGCACTATTTCATATCTCACGTTTAAAATACAACATTATTAACGCCAGTTGAGCACTAATGCATTTGCATGACCTGCATTTAATTTCTATGTGAAAGTAAAATATTTTGAAACATGGTACTTTCTCCCATTTGAAGTTGGTTCTCAGAAGCACAAGTATAGATATTTACCTTTGGAAGCTTTTGTGGCTGTAATGGATAGCAAACACTATTGAGTCAGGTGTTAGAAATTTACCAGATGTGTAATGTTGCATAGTAAAATAAGGTTCTTTTCTCATTTTGTTTGTTCTAAAAATAAGAAAAAAGAAGAAAGCTAATTGTGATAGTAAACTGTCTTTGTTTATGTCCTTCCAGATGTTTAACTCAAAGTAAATACAAAGTAGGTACAATATGGTGGTGATGACAGCAGCGACGATGATGATGAATAAACAGAATCAAATGCTAGCTTTATTTGAAACTGAATAACTAGAATAAGTCATCATTATTTTCAACTGTAACACAGCTGGTTACATTGAATATTTTCTCTCTATTATGCTGTTAATTATATAGTAATGTATCAAAAAAGAAATAGATAAGAATTTTTTTCATTTCTTGTTCATTTATGAAAAAGTCTTTTCACATATAAATGACTGAACGTTCTTGTTTAGAATGACCATGTAATTATTGCTTTGAAGACACCAATTCATTTTTTAAAAAATCTGTTTATAATAATCAGAAACAAATGTTGCTTTTTCTTCAAAATGTTAATAGAAATAATTGAAGGTGGCCAAAATATATCATGTTATTCCTGCTGGGGGCTTTATTATCTGAAGTTTGAGTGGTCAACATATTTGTGAATCTTTAGACTGCTGTAGTTTTGCGATTAATTATGTAAAAGTGTATAAATTCCACTTATAATAGTCTGAGAATAAACTTAGACTCAGTCATTTGTTGATATGTTATCTTAGTTTCAGGCAGGTGAGAGCAGCTGCATAGCATATTTTATCCTCTGATAGGCATCAAGATATCTGAAGTCCCTGTCTCAGAGTTAATTCAAAGAAGGATTAGCATTTCTGTATTTCTTTTCCCATTTGAAGCTCTATGTGCTTTTGGTTTGTGTACATGTTTTTGTAGTGTAAGATATGAAATTTTATATTTTTTCAGAAAATAAAAAAACCCTTTGAATACAGTTAAATCAGACTGTCATGCTTGACCCTCTCCCAATACTTTAAATTTACAATCTTTGTATAATGATTTCAGTTAGTTCTAATAAAAATGTTTGAATATCTTATGCTATATATTTAAAAGGCCACCAGGATTCGTTTTTTACAAAGAGATTTTCACGAATGTTTGCATTTGAATTATTTTTTGAAAGTAGAAATTGATTGAGATTATGGAACATGAACTTTCTATGTCAACTCCCAATTAAAAGTTATTTGTGACAGTACAGTACAATATTAACTTGGAAAAAAAAAACAGCTGTGTGCAGTATCTACAAAGAAGAGCTTTTATTGACCAGTGTCAGCCTCTGTCCTTCTCATCACTATGCAGCTGCTATGTTATAGAAAGAGGAGTTGCTTACCCAAGGAAGAGGTATTATTAAGTACAAACCCTCCTTGCTTCTTGTAAGTATTATATCATACAAGTCTCTTTTTATAAAAAGCATAGCAAAAAATCTGCTGCACTCAAGGAAATGAATCACACTTTCAGTCTTTGCATCTGCATCTTAATAAAGTGATATCACTGTGCCCATGAAAATAATCCATAATTCCTTTGCCTGTGCATAAAACTCAGTGTAGTAAGAATAGCATTTAATCTTTTAGTGAATAGTCTGATACAAATATTTCAGAGTACTTTGTTACCAAGTAGAATATTCTTGCTTCTGTTTTGCTACAGAAGTAAAGATTGTATAAAAAAAGAAAATTTTCCCCAATCCTGTATTTACTCTTGACCAGATAGGAGGATAGGGTGGCAAAGAAAAATTAAAATTTAATGAAAATGCACCGTTCTGTATTCAAATTTTTCATTCTTACCTTTGAAAATATGAATATTATTGCTTCCTTTTACTGATGTTGAAACAGGAGCTCAAAGATGGTAAGAAGTTGCCCAAGACCTGACTACTCTTCAAAGGTAGAATGAAACCCATGTTATTTCATACCAAACACATGAAAATTATACCACATTACTCAGACTCCGCATTGTTAATCATGCTATTGAAACAACAGAATAATTTATAGCACCTTTTAAATTAAATGACACAAAAACTGAAAAGCATTGAGAAAAAATAGCTACACGTTTTCATGAAGCAAAGTGAAAATCTTGCATTAAAAACCAGAATCTGACTGATCACAGTCTAACATGTTTAGTTTTGAGGATAAGTCAGACTTTGGTAATCAAAAACAATTTATCTGATTTGTTATTGTACCACTGAGTAGCATCCCAAAGTAATTCATTTTTTCTTGGATAGGTCATGGTTTTTTGCAACAACTACAAAATGATTGCATAGATTTGCAATTTTCTACAAGCTCAGGAAGTCGGAAAAAAAAAAAAGGTTACTTATTTCTAGCTATAGTATCAGAATGTCAAGTGTCTGGGCAATTTGCTACCTAGTTGTTGTTAAACCCAAAGTAAAATAAATAAGTTATTAGCGGATTAAAAATAATAAACTATATAAAGCTGTCAGAAATGCTGAATTATAAATTTATTTCAGAGCAAGAGTTATTTGTTCTTTAATCTTCCCTATTTTTTAAAAAAAAACTGTTTAGGAAAAAAATCAAATTTACTATGATGATACTCAATTTGAAGTTTCTATCTATTTTCAAGTTACAGACAGTAAGAATTAATTGAGAATTGAACGTAATTTTATGATATTGGATTTCTAAACAAAACTATTTTTTTATTTATTAGCTTTTTGTTACTATTTTATTGTAATAAAATTTTACACCAAATCCCAAGTAAAAGATGTCACTCTATAATAAGTGATGAAGATATTTTTAATTAATTATTTTTATATATGTGACAAATTTCTTTCATGAAATAAAATTCATTCATTGTCAATAAATTATTTTAATTATCAATCATTACTAAGTCAAAGATGTTTTAACAAGAGTTTCAAGTTTAGCCTAGTCCTAATGCTTTTCTCAGTTATCTATCTGACAATTAGAAATATAGCTGTGTTTTTTAAGCATCATGGTGTCTTTTACTCTAACTTCAGAATTATTCAATCTTTTATATTGCTTTATATTTTAATTTTTTAAAAAATATGTTATAGCCGGGTGTGGTGGTACATACCTGTAATCCCAGTGACTCCAGAAGCTGAGGCAGGAGAATAGCAATTTCAAAGCCAGACTCAGCTACTTAGGTGAGACCCTCATCAATGTAGGGAGACCTAGTCTCAAAATAAAAATTAAAAGAACTGGGGATGTGGCTCAGAGGTTGCAACTCAGAAAAATATGTTAGAGTCAATTTTTGTGTCTTTGCTTAAAATGTCCTGTCAGATCCCTCACATTGGACTGATGGCTTTCCTGGCTACAAAATTCTAAGTTATTTTTTTTTCTTTCACAACTTTGAGGGCATTGCTGGGTTTTTGTTGTTGTTGTTGGTTTTGTTTTTTGGAGGGGTTATGTTGTTGTTGTTATCCATTGTCTCTTGACAATTTTTTTTCCCTTTCTACCTCAGTGAACTTTTTCCTCTTACTGGAAACTTACAGGAACTTCACTTCTAACACCTACCCCCATCTTGTTTTACCTGCTACTTACTTGGTATACCCCCAATTTAAAGACAAAATCCACTGTCCAGGGAAATTTTATATTTTTTTTTCTTTTATTATCTTCTTTTATAGCTCTTTTCTTTCTCTTGGGAGCTTCTAATGTCTAGATGACGGATCTTCTAAATTAATATCTTCCATATCTTTATCTCTGAACTTTTTCCTGTAACCTTAACCTTAACTGAAGGTCAGGCTCCATCTATCCACTTACAGATAGTAATATTTTACCTTCTTCAGGGACATTTGCTTTACTGGAAGAGCCACATGATTTCTACCTCTTGCTATGTTTGCTGAAATACTTATAATTTCTTCTGGGCTTTACTCATATTTCTTCCAGATTATAAGCTTGCACTTTGTCATTCTTTTTGCCACTCTTTCTTGTAATAAACAAAAAGAAAATACTTTGTTAAATTAATGCAGAAAGTTAAAGCAGAAGGAAAGTATGCTATTGCCTATTCTTCCTCTGACATTGAGCCCATTGTGGAGACTCCAGTTTCCAAATGTATTTTCTCTAAATAAAAATCTCATAAATGCAAATTACAATTTTTATATGCAGCAAAAAGAGGATAAGAAATTACCAATAACAGTTCTGTTTGTGAATGCACTTTTCTGTATAGAGTGAGCACTGTCTATGCAAAACAAAACAAAAAACTTATGTTGTTTGTCCATTGTTTTTTTAACTACAGATCCAAAACCATTTTTTACTTCATTTTAAGTGGCATGAACTTAGAAATAATTCCTTTTTTTTTTGCCTAGAAGTTATAGTTTCTCTCTTCTACCATCATCTCCATTAGTTTTCTCTTATGCTCCAGAGAAAAATAAATGAAAAATCTGATTCCAATTAAAATGAAATTCGAGATAAAACTGTCATCACTGTTTCTAAGCAAATTCGCACATTAAGATTCCCCCCCCCCAAATATTCTAAATTGCCGCTGTAGGACCAAGATTGGTGGATATTGCAGAATACACATGAGAAAAAAATATATTCATACTTTAAAATTTGTTCTTGTATTATTTGTCAGGAATAAATTAGGATAAAGTTTTGACGGTTCTTGATATTCTAGGCCACTGGCCATTCTTATTACCATGAAGCAAATGATACCCAAACTCTATTACATAGTAGATAACCTATAGAACATTATGTTGTGAACTTGCCAAGAGTTTCCATGTTATAACATACACAGAAATCTTTTATCATGTCTTTGATGCTAGAGATGAAATGACTTTTTGACAAGAAGGTCTAATGTGCTTGGAAAAGACAAAAATTTTATATAAAAATAAATTTATCAAGAATTACATGAAACAAGCTTATTCTCTTTTAAATAATAATAATAATAATAATAATAATAATAATAATAATAATAAAAGACTTTAGACTGCTAGAGACCTACTGTCCATCTCATTTCTTATTATTTCTATATATAATACTTGAAAGAATTCTACAATGCTTCCCTATATTTCTTCAAAGATTTTCTGGTTTGATTCTCAAAGGGATTCTGTTAATCAGAACGGGAGCTCTTCTCTTCTTTTTGTGGATCAGGAAACTAAATTTCAGTGGTATGGACAATGAAAATCATGGATCTGTTCAGCTGACAGTCTAAAAAAAGTTTCAAGTCTCATAAAAGTCTTCCTTTAATCTAGTGACTAAGGCTAATGGTAAATAGCAATAATACAAGCATTTGTTAAATGCCCACATCTTCTTAATTCAGCAGTGCTTTCACTCATCTACATTTTCATCCCATCCTCACAACATTACTTTTACTGATATATTAATTCTGGTTTTCTTTTCAACAAAGGCAGAAAGAAATACACTTCAGAGACAAATCGACTTTCTTCGGATCACATAGCTCATGAATATATCTCATCTTTCCAAATTAACCCTTCTTCCCCTGAGTTCCAAATAATGTTCTCCTTCCTGATTTAGAAATTGTTCCATCAGTTGTCCCTGTTTGAGAATGTCCTCAGCCATCAGATTCCATGGTTCCCTTTTCTTTGTCTTGTGCATCTACCTAAGGAAATAAAGCTTCATGGTTCTTGGTTCTTTTGATCCAGTTTGTCATATGCTACTCTGTCTCTTACTAGTGGGTGTGTGAACTCAAGCAACACATTTAACCACTCTGCATTCAGGTACCTTGTCTCTAAAAGGCTGAAAAAACTGACTGTTTTAAGAACATATACATAGGAAATGTGAATATAGTACTGGGGCATAATAATTCTCTAGTAAATATTATTTATTTTGACACCATACTCTACATTTCTTTAGTGTTAAAATATATTAAAGAGTTACCTTCACTTTTTATCTTTTTTTTTCTCACTTATTTTACTGCACCTTTTCTCTCCTTACATTATTTTAACCTAACACCATCAACAATTTCAAACATAAGATTTAATAAATTTAGCAAATTCCTTAGTATATGCAATCTAGCTGTCAGTTCATTAGTGTTAATATAACAAAATACTGAATGTTGGGTGATTGATAAGCATTGGATAATTTGTAAAAGAAAAAAAATAGACCTTTATTTGGCTCAGAGTTGTGGAGGCCCAAGTATCTGAGATCAAGAGGCCATGTGTGCTGAGGGCTTTCCTGCTGTGTCTTAACATGATGCAAGCAAAAGGGCAAAGAACAAGTGTAAAATAAAGGGAAACAAAACCAGAGTGAACCCTTTTATTAGGAGATCATATCTGTAATAACTAATCTTTTCCCAGGAAAATTAATCAATTTGTGATGGTAGAGCCCTGGTGACCAAATCACCTCTTAAAGGCCCACCTCACATTACTATTGCATTAAGGATAAAGTTTCTGGGCTGGGAATGTAGCTCAGTGGGTACAGTTCTTGCCTCACATACAAAAGACTCTGGGTTCAATCATTAGCACCACATACACACACAAAAAAAAAAAAAGAAAAAAAAAGATTAAATTCCTAACACAGGGACCTTGGCCAATTTTTTTTGTACACCACTCTGTCTCACTCTCTGCTCTTTGTTAAAAGCAACAACACAAATACCTTTGCTTTAAATAAATAATTTCTATCTCTAAAATAGAGGGGTTATTTTAAAACTATAATTATAGTTTTGTTAGACTATTTGAAAATTCACAATCTTTATAAGTATCTTCAATTAGTATTCACCTGCTTTTCCACATATTTTTTCTTGTGAATTAGTATCCAAATAAAGACTATTAATTTAGTCTCTCTTCCTTCTCACTGTTTTTTCTTTCTCTTTCTCTTCCTCTTTTCTCTCCCTGTGTAACTTGTTTTTTGAAAATATCAATATTTTGTTGAGTAATTAGTTATGTTGTTCTTGAGCACATTTCTATATTCAGATTATTTCTGGTAAATTAGATAATAGATTCAGGGATTGAATTGAATCTAGGTTTGATTTTTTTTTAAAGAATACTTCATAGATCCTTTTTGTATACTTCCATCAGGGTACATAGCCTGGCTTAATCCCTCTACTATTGATTATCACTGACAAATCATCATTCATTAAAAATTTCAAAAGGATGATTTTTCATCATTCTTTCCTCATCTAATTGTTACACTATTTTTATAAAAATCTAATTTGCTTATCAACTGTTTAGTTACATGATATTAGAGTTTACTTAAAAGAGCTCAAGTTTATAGGCAGTCTACTTTCTATCATTATTAAGAGTAGCCAAATTCTCAAATTCCTTTATCTGTAGCCCCTTGGCTTACTCCCATATTATATTGAACTTCTTCCCTCAATTCCTCTACTCTCATTTTGACTAATTCCTTAACATATTTAATTAGATCCTTTAGACATTATACCCACCATAAGTAGCCCCCTACCCCCATTTTCTGATTTTCCTACTTTTCTGGCCATTTATTATCATTCTTTCCATGATGTTTTACTTTTCTGCCTTTCTCTTAAATGCTTATATTGTGAGGATATATGTTCCCATATTCAATTTTCAATGCTGGTCTGTTTTTTTTTTTTTTAATATTATTCCATTTGTATAACTTTTTACTGAAAATCT